TACCAGTCATGAGCAGAAAGAACACACCTTCTCTTCTAGAGGTGGATTTGTTCCATCTTCTGGTAGGTGTCTCTGAAAGAAACTGCTCTTACATATTAGTCTGAGCAAATGCTTCATGCTAATACATTAGATTAATACAATAAATGTATTATGTTAAGTGCAATAAAAACAGATTCCAATTGAAAATGAACATGAACTCCAGAAGATGTAAGACTGTAAAGAGGAAACATGATGGTGGAGATTTTATTTTCTGTTGATTGAGAAACTATAGACAACCCTCTGAATTTTTACTAAAATTGAAGAGATTATGTCTTTAAGAAACAGGTGTGTGATGGTTTTATAACGCTTGGATGTTTTGTCAGGTTGGATTGGTGCTATCGATACCCTCGCTTTATCAAGAGGAGACTGTAGACTTACAGCCATCTGCTGTCAGCGCTGCATACAATCACCTGCATATCTTGCATTTGGTGACCATGGCTCATGTGCTGCAGATCCTCTTGTCTTCTGCAGGTACAAAATCACAGACCCCCGCCCCCAAAATAATGTGATCTAATAACACCACTGTTAGCTACCACTTAGGGAGCTAGCCAGTAGTAAGAGATAATTGGAGTGATTATGATGATTAAATAATTGGTTTGTTTGTGCAGACGTCCCTGCAGCAGGGGATGGACAGGAGACGAAGGAGGAGAGAGCAGCAGCAGAGTTGTACTCTGCAGTGTCACAACACACGGGAAGGTGAGTGTTTTTCAAACACCTGCTTAAAGCACATTAGCATGATTGTATTTTTCCATACATATTTTTTATGGACATCAAAAAAGGAAAAAACTTTGACAGCCACTAAACTTAAGCAAAAACGAATCTCCTTTCTTAATGCTAATTTATAATTTAAATGTCTGCTATTAGTCACAAAAATGCATTTGTGGCAGGTGTCAGGAGGTTTTGATGTATTGGACAGTAAGACCGTCAGAGTTGGATAAATATTTTTAACTCATAATTTGACAAGAATGGCTATTACCTGTTTATAATGGGAACAAATACTTAGTTTCAGCCTTTTTCATGGTGAATTCTCAGATATTTGACAGCTTATTTTGTGGTTTTCTCATCAGGCTCCTTCCAGATGTTTCTGGCAGCTCTTTAGTAGAAAGAGTGAAGACAGGAATTGCACCATTCTTGCGTTGTGCTGCTCTCTTTTTCAATTGCCTTACAGGAGTACCTCCTCCAGAGGAGCTTTTTAGCATTTCTGGTAGGTTTCAGTGTAGTAGTGTCAGAATTTTATTGCATTTTGGAATTCAGAAGAGGAAGTTTTGTGCATTCATGCTGACATTTTATGTCTTGTGCAGTTGATTCTCAAGAACAGATGGAGGCACTATGCAGTTACCTGGCGCTACCCTCCAATGTGTTTCAGCTTTTCCACGATCACAGAGAAACTGTTAGTCCACTGCTTCAGAGGTCGGAGAAAACACTATTGCATCTTACACTAGTTCCCAGTGAAGTCAGTAGTTTTGTAACTTATTATTTCTTGTTATTTCTTAGGTGGTGTGGGAGCCCAGTTGTAACCAAAGCCCTGAAAGGCAAAATCCAGACAGTCAGGTAGACTTTGGGTCTTTTATTATTTCAACATAGATTTTAGTTTTATTGAAACCCTACAGTTGGCCAATAAACTCACTCTTTCAACAGATACCCCAGGAAAAGGAATCGATTGATTGAACTTCCTGAAGATTACAGTACTCTCCTCAATCAAGCCAGCTATTTCAAGTAAGTAAGGAGTCCTCTCATTTGACATCTTCTAGTTCTCTTCTGTCCATCCTTTCTCACTCGTCTGCATCATGTCCTCAGGTGTCCAAAATCCACCGATGATGAGAGGAAGCATCCGACTTTATGTCTCTTTTGTGGGGCTATGCTGTGCTCTCAGAGCTCCTGTTGTCTCAGTCAGCTGGAAGGGGAGGACGTGGGGGCTTGCACTGCCCACGCTGCGACCTGTGGAGCAGGAGTGGGGATGTTCCTCAGGTTAATCAGTCACACGGCACATTTTACATTAGTAGAATTGTATTTCAAGCCCAGAATTAGTTTGTCTTTTGGGTTTACTTTTTTTTTTTTCTAACTGAATCACATTTTGTTTAATGATAACAGGATAAGAGAGTGTGAAATTGTGCTGATGGCCAGTCGGACTCGAGGGAGCACGTATCCCGCTCCGTACTTGGATGATTATGGGGAGACTGATCCTCATCTTGGGTAAGAACCTATTCAGTTTATTTGTAGTATTACTTCTGTATTTTTAGACTTAAACTCTACTATATAATACAGACTGGAGGATGTACTCAAGGTCAGCTGTTTGGCTTTGTCAGACAATTTTTACAGCTTGTGCCATCTATGAAAAGGTAGATGGATGATGTTGCTCGTAGGGGCAATGTACAGCAATACTGTGGCTAATGTAATTGAAACTTTGGTGTCACTTGTAGACTTGAATGTTGAAGCTAAAACTGTTGCCATTGTAGACTACAAAAATGCATTTATTTGAGCTTTGTTGCAGATCTCAAATTCATAATTATGTGCTGATCAAAACTTGATCGCACAGTGATAGCACATTCTCACAGTAGACCCCGATGAGCAACTTGCAGTTCAAGCCCAACACCTGGGCAGCTTTAACCTATAATACTACCTTCATGCACTTTCAGATTTGCATAAGCATTAAGTTTTTTTTATGACATAAAGAAGTGGTTTACACAGCTACGAAGTATGACTACATTTTTTTGTCATACCAGTGAAATACTGGGTTTGAGAAACCCTTGAATGCATTTGTTTCTCTGTGTTTTAGACGGGGTAATCCGTTGCACCTTTGCCCAGAGCGTTACAGGAAGCTAAACCAGCTGTGGCAGCAGCACTGCATCCTGGAAGAAATCGCCCGCAGCCTGGAGGTGGTCAACGTTATGTTTGCTTTTGAGTGGCAGATGTTGTGATGACTGCTCCAGCTGTGTGACCGGCCGATACCGAGCACGGCCCCTGTGCTCCCAAGACACATGCACGCACACGACACACACAAGCAATCAACCCAAACCCTTCTGTAATCAGAAAAGCCTGTTTCATCATAAATGAGTCTCCTTTGGAATCCAGAGAGAGTGGGGGGGGCAGTCAAAATGGATAGAGGGTGATTGTTGTTGATTAATCCCAAGTCGCCTTGTTTCAGTTTGATTGTCTGCTGTGAGGATGAGTTTCTCCCAGAGTAATGTTATTTGCAAAGAAGCTCATTCAAATAAAGAAGAGCATCAGACACACACTAACACGTTTCTGTTATCACTTCATGTGTTTTTTTTCTTAATGATGCTGTGAATTTTCTGCGTTCTCTCTCTTTGTGTTAGAACTTATGATTTGTGATAAGTTATAATTGTTCAAAGATGCGGTTTCCAAGCACATTCATGTGGAAAACTTTAGCCTTTTTCGGAGATCCTATCCATTTTTGCCTTTGACCCTTTATTATGTAGAATTCCTCAAATAATTAAACCTTAACCTACTGACACCTTTACTTATAAATAGACACATGTATAATGGGCAAAACGTATATAGAATAAACATCATTTTCAAGATTGCTTCAAACAGATTGAGTATTCTCAGAAAAGTATACGGGAATCTGTCTCAGTGACTTCCTCATATCCTGTCCTTAGATGCACCAGTTTTCTGAATTTCAGCCATTCTTATAGTTACATAACTCTCACATCTGTGCTTACTTACCTTCAGAATTGTGAAATTAATTATATAGAGGGAATTCAAATACAATATGATATTGCAAGATTGCTTTTAGAAAAAAAGTTTTATTAAGTTTTATTAAGCTTGTAATCAAAAATTATTGGATGACCTGTTGTGCGACACATTGTCAACCTTTATCATTTGATGTTGACTCTACATTATCTGAGTTTTAGTTGTCAATGATCAATTGCAGTGTTTTATTTAAGAGGAAAAAAATCTTTTTTTAAATCCCAGTGTATGGTTTCAGGTACTCCATTTTATTTCTGTCATTTCACTTAGCAAATGTGTGAATATATAATTTCTTCCTTTTTTGTTGTTGTGTTGTTTGACTTCATGATTTCCAGGCTGTGGAAATAAAGACACAAGACAATCTGTAGGTAGTCTGTTCCATAGCTCTGAATGGGGTTTAAAAACAACAACAGACCCAACAACAGTAGTGTCCAAGATTAGAATAAATCATTGTAAAAAGGAATGTGCTCTCGATTAAAGTTAACTGCTTTAAACGGTTATTCTGAAGTTGCACTCAAACTGTTCATTCTTTTAAGAAAAGGACAACAAAAACGTATTCTTGCTATAATAAGTGACTTCCCAGTTTTGTTGTTGGAGAAAGGAAGGAAGAGCAGATCACATCAGCAAGGCTTCTTTTCAGAATTCAAAGTCCTCAAGTGGACAGTTTATTGTCAAACTTTTTGTAGCTCATCCCAGCAAAGTTTATATTTGAGCATTAAAACCTGGTGACATTGCTGAGGCACGAGAGAATCGTAGCAGTGGCTTAAATATTCTAAAAAAAAAAAAAAGTAGTTAAGAATTTCTCATGGATTTCTGTCTGCTGAGCTACTTATGTGAAAACAAAGTACTGTTTAATATTCGCTATCCTTGTAACAACTTTGCTAATGCAGTTAGGCAACTCAGGGAAAAGGGCACACAAAAGATCCAATATTGGTACTACTAGTCTAAACACAAACTAGTCACTACAGATCTTTAATTGTGAAATGTAATTTGTGAGCTTTCGCTTTTCTTGCTGTAAATCAAACTTCTGAGTGGGTTTTCTGGCATGCTCAGATGAAATCATGGGAAACAAGAACAGGTGCTTGAACTTCTAACCCATAGTTGTCTTCATCAAATAATAAATATAAGTACATTTTGATTCCAGTGTTGCAACTGACGGGTGTACAGAGTCTTTTTTTGCAAAAACCACATGTTACACAGGCAACAGATGTCATTTGTAAACAGTAGATTAAAGCACAAGTAATCTTACAGAAAAATAATAGAAATGTATGCAGACTGGTGACAAATTAAAGGAATTTAAAGTGAGGAAATGTGGTGGCTTTGTTATACTGAGGAGAACATTTGGTTAGCATGGTGTGGGTCCTGTGAACCCTTCAGAAAAGTTATGAGGATGGTTTTGGCTCAGTCCACATTATATGAGGGCTCAGTGAATGGATTGATTTGGGTGGAAATTATGTCACCAGGCCTCTATCAATTTTTTTATATGACCATCATATGATCATCGAAACACAAATTGACTTGACTTAAATTATGGTGTTGATATTAAAATTCTATCATTTAGGGTTCATATATATTTTCCACAAACAAAATTCCCATTCCATCGCCACAGGTACAGAGATAAGAATTCACCAATGTAATGTGTATACGTTTCAAGGCCCTTTGTGGGCTTCAGGAATGTCATCCATTGAAGTCTTTTGAGTGAAAAAGTTCAACTGTCTTCAGTTATTTGCTTTGGTGGAACATTGTCAGGACCATAGTGTGCTTTTGAGGTGGAGGGGACGTTAATGTTGGGGTCTCCATTAGTGGCTGTGTCTATCTGGTTACCCTTGCCAAGGCTCTTGATGATATTCAGGTTCATGCGGGCAGTTTCCATGAAGCTGTTTTCCAGCAGCCAGCCATCTGATTCGGAGTTGGGGTCTCCCTGTCTCAGGACATTTTCCAGAGAAGTCTGGAGGTAACGAACCCCGGTCAACACTGATAGCTGAAACGACAAGAGACCCCTATTGACTGGCTCGCTCATAGAAATAAACACAAAGCATGATGCAAAGATGTTAAAGTGGCTGAAAAAGTTAATCAGATTTTGTGTAGTTTCCCTTTAAACCTACCAACTCCGACTTGTGTTTCCTCACCTCAAATAACCAGGTGATGAGGACTGTGAGGCCGATGGACTGCATAATGTGTATGTAGTACTCCAGCAGCGCCTGTCGACACCCTTTCATCCAAAGGTTTAGCTCCTCCGTCTGGTGCTCGTAGTTGAAGTGTGCAGAGTTGTTGGTGATCTGCTGCTGGATGCAGGGCCGGGGGGAGTTGATGTTGCAGCAGCTGAATGGGACTCCATTCAGTAGGAACTTTCCATCCACGTTACTCCTGATTCGGCTAAAGCCAGAAAAACAAAGTTTAGAATTTCCCTTAATAGATCAGTGCTTCTGTGATCAGATTTTAAATGTGATGATTGTTTGGGAGTATATTTTTTATATATTTAGACAGTATTTTATTGTTATACTGTGCTGATCTGTGCTTCCTGCCATGCCCATTTTTTCTGCCCATTTTCAGTGTTACTGAATATCTATAGCACAGTGTAAGAAATTATATATATATATCATTATCAAATATGATGCAGGGAAATTATAATGAACTAAAACCCAACTAAAAATTCAAACTAGAAGGGAAAAAACATTTTATTTGACTAAAATAACGATAAAAACTAAGTGAAATGATTGTGAACTTGCAAAACTAACTAAAATGAAATGAAAAAACAAAGATGAACTATCCTTAGTTTTAATATATGTTAGCTTGGTAAAAAAAAATTGTCAAAATTTGTTTTGTGAAGTTTTAAAGGACGCATTTATTTAGACTTTAGGTGTCTACAAGATTGTGAGTCAACCCCTATCAAAACGCTGATGCTAAACTGAATTAAAATGAGAAAATACAGAACTACAACAACTCTGTTGTTTCTTTCTCTGTTTGCCATTTGAACACGGCCTCTTAAATACGAATGCACTTTACCAAAATAGCACCCTGTTTCTGCAGTTTGTACTTACTCCACCACCTCTTTTTGGGACATATCCAGGTAACGGTTGCTTATCCACTGAATTTGAAACCAGTCCTTATAACCGTTGTTTCCACAGCACTGAAACTGCATCTGCAGCATGTCCACGGTGCGCTTTAGGAAGCAGCGTCCTGGTGTGTCTGTGTCCTTATAAAACCTCATGGCCTCTGTCAGTCCCAGGTTCAGAGACTCTTCCAGTTCCCAGTGCATGCAGTAACACATCAGAGCCCCTACCAGCACACAAAAGGTGAAGAAGAAGGTGCATATGATGTAGGGCAGCATGATCAACTTCCAGCGCAAAAACTTGGTGGTGTCCACACAGTCGTAGCAGATTTTCCCACCCAGGAAGTTTATGGCACAAGCGATGAGACCCACAGCTATAAGCGTGTTGGGAACATACTGGATGTCCCTCTCAGCCATCACCTCTCCTTGTTTATGGAGCTCCACCTTGAGGAAGAGGCCTAGGCTGAACAGGATGGCCCCCGTAACTACCGAGATCCAGTTTAGGATCCAGAGCACCTGGGCCAGCTTGTCTCTTTTGGTCTTGGTAAACTTAACTCTTAAGACTGCCATTGCCCGTAACACTTCCCTGAGTTTTCATTCAAGTCCAAGGTGGGATTAAGGGTAGGACACAGATAGAGCTGGAAAGAGGAACAGGTTATCTTCCAGGGGATGTGGAGGGACAAATAGAGGGGGTTTGGTTGTACAGTTCTCTGAAGGTCCTTTCATAAGCAGCTTAGCCTGGTAGCCGAGATTGATATCGTGTGGATGCTGCATTATGGTTGTACTGTAGGTGGTCTGTAAGCCTGTAGCAGTGAGAGTAGATAAAAAAACTCATATAACGTGACAATTTCTAGAAAACAGAAACACTGTTAAGAAACACTGCGCTGAAATGTGATCATCTGTATATACAACCAGAAATAGTATGATTTATATATAACCAAAATATATTGAAGAAACTGAAACAACTCTTCCCTCCCTCTAAAATCCCGAATAAATCCACGGCACTCACCTAAGTGTGATCATGATGAACATTTGATAACACTGCACTTCTGATTTTCAGGTTGTTTTCTTACAAACATCGTCAGATTTAGTCCAGAGCGGCGAGTAGTTGTAGTGACACAGATAGCGTGAATGCAGCCACAGCAGCATCAGAGTGAGACTAGCAGCCAAGTCCTGAACCTCCTAATCCCCTTTAGTCATTAATCAGTCATGGGCCCCATAAGGGATTTGGACCCACCTTCTGCCACCTATGCAAATCTGACTGTCTCGACACTGTGAAAGCAGTGGCCGATTGCCTTTCTCTCTCTCTCTGTGTGTGTGTGAGTGTGTGTGTTACCAGTAAAAGTTTTACAAAAGGATAAAGTTAAAAAAAAAATCATCTTTGCATCAGCAGTATTGCCCTAACTGCAAAGTTTAAGCCATCTTTTAATGATGCAGAAAAATAAACATACAGTCTTTGGTGGGGGGTTTGTATTGAAGACTACATTAATAATAAATGCTTTAAAAAAAAAAGTTTAAAACTGAAGCACATTGTAGTTGCAGTGCTCTCTAGTGGTAGAAACTTTGCAGTCAGGCTCCAGCTACTTTTATTATTTCATTTTGATTTGATTTTTCTATAAAATTCTTTGAAATATTTTGTTTTTTACCAGCTGGCAATCCAAAATGAAGACAAGTGCAAAAGACAATGACAAAACTATGCAGTGATCTGAAAAGCATGTGGTACTTTTACCACTTTGCCAGTTAATAAAAACACTTCACTGGTCATAAATGACAAAAACAAGATTTAAACTGGAAGAAAAAATGGGAGTTTTCTTCTCTCTTTTACTTAAGACGTTCACTTTAACCCCTGATATTCTTACCTATTTTGTTCCCCGCCTGTAACACACATGCAAACACACCGATGCAGTCACGACTACTCTGCAAATCAGCCAATGAAATGTTAACTGAGAGTGAGCTTAGAGGATTAACGTGGACGAAAGTAGCTTGTGTAAGAAGAGAATGTTACTAGCGGGCCAGTCAGCAAATCCACAGGGCAGACAGAACTCACAGCAGTCACCACTACAGAGACCAAGAGGGAAGTTTCACTGACCCACAGCAGAAAACTAGACCACAGTCGTTCCACCGAGTAAGTATGTGAAGACCCAACAAATGCAAAACTTACTAAAGTCCTCATGCTTCAGTCTGGTCTTCCTGATGTAAGTGTGGAAACACTTATATAAATGGATTTTCTAGCTTTAAGTGTACGTGCTATTTAACCACTTAAGCACATTACATGGGCTACAGTTGAAAGACCTGTGCAATGCAGTAGGTAAAGTAGTTGTTAGATGTTTTCAGTATACCCACTTTTTTGTGTGTGATCTCCCTTGTCTTGGTTTCGATACCAAAAGCTCAGCGTGATGCTGGACAAAGAGGGTCAGTGGTCTGAGGCATTGGCCAGCAATAACATAAAAGCCATCATCTGCTGGTTGAGGAAGCTTACAGCTGAAGGTAGAAAAGGAACATCCACTCATCATGAAACCAGTGCTCTGTACAATTTTTGCAAAGACCCTTTAATTCCACAGTTGTTTGTTGTTTCCTTTAACACTGTATCTTCAACAAGGTTATACTGATGTGGGGGAAATCGCACCAGCATTTAGCTGCTGGGTACAGCGGACAGCAGAGTTTGCGAAAAAGGAGTTATTAACCTTATGTAAGTACATATTACATCATATTTTCAGTCTTTCTAAATGTGCAAACTTAAATTTGAAGTTGAAGTTACTTTGAGTAACATATACTTTGGATCTTTGGATCTATTGTGTCTTAATTATTCCCTCAGGCTTCAGCTGTTGCCAGGGTCTGTGGATGTTCCTGGACCGCGGCTCCTTCACTAGAGTGCACACGTTACTCCAAAAATTAAGGAACCTACTTACATTGGCCCAGTGGGGAAGAAAACATCTCTGCTCAGCCCACCTCTGGCATGGTTTGTGCTAAAGATATCCTAATCTTTAATGCTGTGACATGATAAAAGCCTTTCTGAAATGCAATGTCTTCTTTATGCAGGAGTGGGAGTCCCATGTGTGGTCTGCAAGGACACATACAGCTCCTCAGACATCCGACATGGCTGCTGGAACAGAGAGCAGAGGATGCTGATGCAACACATCTGGCTGGGACAGCTGGTTCAGTGGTGGGGCATCATGGGGCTTCTGCCAAAGTTTCCTGGTATAGATATCATCACATCCCAATAAACTGGGATGAAGAACTGTTATTATACCTCTAAATCCTTTTGTTCTTAATGTTTGGTTCTCTGTTGTTTCTGTCAGAGACCCAAGAAGTGAAGCGTATCACTCAGATGTGGAAGGAAATGGATCACAGCCACCGAAAAGCTGGTCTTGAAACACAGGGGTAACTCTGAAAGGGTTTCATTTTAGAGCAAGTCTCTCTCTGAACATACTTTATCAATTTCCTACCTGTTTTTTCCCCTTTAACTTCCTTACCTTTTATTAGACGGGAGGAGGGAGAAATGGGAAGATTCAAGTCTTTGATACAGAGCATGGTGACACAGCTATGCAAACAACACGGGTGCATTTGGATGTCTGGAGATTGCACAGATCCACGTTATCCTCCCCCTAATCTGCAGGCGCTGTTGAAGCTCGTGCTGATCCCTCATATTGACAACATGTCAGTCCAGGCCATTGTATCCATCCAAATCAGCAAAGCTTTTCTGTGAAACATACTGATTTGTTGCTTCTCTATGTGCACTTACTTAAGGTTAAATGTGTCTTAACTTTTATGACACAAGCTCATGTACTTCATCCTGGATGTGGCAAATTTCCTACAGTGCAAAGATGACCTCCTTCAGGCTTTTTGTCATGCATTCACAATTCCATCCACCTTTTCCCAACAAATCAGAGCCTTCTGGATGCTTGATCATGGACACACTGAGGTATGCAGCTGAAAACGAAACATTAAAAAGATAAGTGTTGAAACGGCCAAAATGGCATGCAGGTGACTCAAATGAGATATGTGCATACTTTAAAGTGATTTAATAATTTGCAAATAATAAGTAATGAATGGAGCTACAACATTTTTTCTTTTAATTGATAAGAAATTTACTTAACAAAGTGCTGTGCGCTATCTTACAACCAATCCCAGGCCTCCATGGAGCTGTTACTGAGCCCAAAGGCCTATGTTCCTGCCCTCTCCTGGCAGCATCGTTGCATCATCCATTGTCTCCTGACAAGGAAACAGCCTCAAGAGGCATTACGGTACCTCCAGTGGGCCAGGCCTGCAGTAGAGACCACTGATGATGCCAAGCTGTTTGCAGATGTACTTATTCAAAGCAGGTACTACATGTTTGATAATATAATGTTACTAAATAAAGGCTCACTTGCAGACTCAATTTGTGCTTTCAACCCCCAGTTGTAACTCTGATGCTTGGGCTCTGTTGAAGAGAGGCCACACAGAGACTGAAGATATGAGCAAATACTTCCTCCAGACTTGTAAAGGAGTTGGCCTGTGCACAGAGGCTTTAAAGTACATTCTTGTTGAAAACAATGTGGGTGAATCACTCATTTACATCAAGACAAAATGTACATACCAAGACAGCCTAGAAAGGACTTTTAACTCTCCCTAAAAATCTTTATCAGAATGAAGAAGATGGAGCTGAGACCACAGAGATGACACAGATGAAGAAAGGTATGAAAGATATTATTAAACAGTATTAGGATATAACTGAGATGTCATCTAATCACATTGTTTTGCAGAAATGCCACCATGTCCGCTATCTGCCAAGCTGTACCGGGCTCAGAAAGTTGGCAAAGTATCAACAGATGAGCAGGTGAAATTGGTCAGAAAGGCTGTGAAGGAAGTGAGGAAACCAGATTGCAAGTTGAGGTACTGAGGTTGTAGATGTCACACTTGGAGCAACTGCTTGAATTATGTTAAAACACAATATGCATTAGACACCAGATTTATGACGTGCACTCTCATTTCAGGGAGGTAGTGTGGCCAGAGCACACAGAGAGAATGCCCAACAGCAAGCAAATGCTTCTGCCCACCGAGGCTCTGCGTCTACTCACATGCAGCTCTTCACCAGTGCACATGGCAATAGAAACACAGCAAACAGCACATACAGCCGACCCAGAAGAAGAAGATCCTGTCATTTACAATGTATATATTTTCATTGTCTTTGGTAATACTGGTTGCAATATACAATTGCAAAGGGATTTTAAGTAATGGCAACCCTTAGATTTTATCTTGTATTCGCAGCAGCAGCAGCAGCTGGAGACTCAAGAGAACATTTTTTCTTCTGAGGAGGATCTAAGATCCTTGTCTGCCTCATCCTCTACCTCAGCTTCACCCTTGCTTCTTATGAAGTGGGACCCGCTTCACACATATAAAAGCACTCTGACCCTGCAGATGATTTCCTCTCTGCTGACGGATAGAAGTAGCCAAAGCAGGGGACAAGAAGAAGAACACAGACCCCACTCATCAGCTGGTGTTTTCCTAAATATCCCTGAGCTGGTGCTGACACCAGATGGCGCTACAGAGCCTGTTTCCTTCAGCAGCTTGAACAAAGACAGCATGGTAGAGCTGATGCTTTCTGCAGATGGTAAGCTTTGTCTTGGATTCTCTGCACACACCATACATATTGAGAGATTCCCAAGAAATGGAAGCACTTTCTTACGTTTTACAAGTGGGAGAAGGTGATGAAGCAGATGTTTTTCTGGAAGAAGATACTATCGGGGTTGACGGGCTTTCAAGACCTTCCACATATGAAAGCCTTCTTTCAGACACAAGGTCAGAGGTCATCATAAATCTCACAATGCTTATGATAAAGTAAATTATTAAAACTGGTTGATATTTGGTGCAAGTTGAATTTCCAGTATGAATTTGACAACAATCAGGGCTGCCTGATAATTATATCTGGCTTAATTGTCATCCACTGAGTGATCACATAACTAGCTGCTACACGAGCTCATGAATATATCAGTCCTGGCCCCTCAAATGTCACTCAGCCAACCTTCTCCTCTCACTGATTTTCAGTTTCACTGAGGTAGCCCCAACTCACTGCGTCCAGAAAAAGAAACCTCATCAGGTAGGTAATAATTTTAATTTTAAAGTACATAGTGACTCTATTGGTTCAGTATCTAATTAGCAGCTGTGTTCTCTGTGAGTGTGTTTACACTGTATACTGTATGCCACCAGCAAGACGAACCACAGGGATGCTCCAGCCAACACCTCCCATGTACCTCAGCTGAAACAACCCACGACATGCTGACAGATCTTCATCAGAGCTTTGTTTTGAATTGGTCTATACCCAGGAGCTCGCCAGGGATGGGTAAGCAGGACAGCTCCCTCCTCTTCTCTGTGTGTAGCTCCACCTTTCTTTACACATCTGTCAACCCCAGCCCAACCTGCAACACTGAAACCACCTCGGTTTATTTGGGCACAAAGAATGAGCGCCTCCTTGAATCCATGTTAAGAACTAATGAATCCTCTCACTCAGCCTGGCTCGATCATTGCAAAATGGGCAAATGGTGGAAACAGGATGCTGAGACTGGATGTAGTGTTTCCAGGTGTCTGCTACAGAGCTAAGCTATTACAGCCGGTGCATTTTGGATCACAAAAAGTCTAAACAAATAATAATATACCTCTAAAAGTATGCACGAATCTATGCAGCCATTTGGTGCTCAGTGATCAGCAGAGATAACAAGACATGTTGCCTGCTCAACCTTTAGAGCTCTGGAAACAATTCTATCTTTTGCAGTGTGTGTGTATGCATGTGTGCGTGTGTGTGTGTGTGTGTGTGTGTGTGTGTGTGTGTTAAAGGTCAGAACTAATTGTTTGTCAGAGGAACTGCAGGGGTGCAAGATGCAGGCACCAAAAGCAGGGGGGCTTGGCTGCTAGGAGAGGGAGATTGGAGAGGAAGTGAGGTGTCAGAGATTGGTTCCCTTAACCTTGCTGCAGCATTCAGTGATCCATTAAACAGCATCCCCTCCCTCCCCCACGTTTTCTGTCAAAGGGTGTACCGTCTACCACCGCAGGCAGACCTCCCTCCATCTGCTGATCACTGTTGAGCCTCAAGGAGCGATGGCCTGTTGGCCCGTACTGATGCCCCAACCTTGTCGCAGAGACAGCGGTTAAAGACGTAACAGTGGAGCAGTGTTGCATAAAAGATAATAGTGTCAGACTTGTTGTTACCAAGATCCCCATTTATGTGATGTGTTCATCACTGGATTATGACTTCTAAGGAAATTCCAACAGAAAACAATATTGATAACATTTCTGTTCATTTGCAGATGACAAGGGACTTTCTCTTGTTCTAGGTCAGCCTTATTCCTGTGGACTCGTCAATTTTTTGGACTTCACTGCAAAGCAAAAAGGAGAAAACAGAGATGGAAATCAGGTACTTTGTTCTGACAAACACCATAAAATGTACAACATGTGTTATGATGAGTCTATTATGCATTCATCACAAAATTGTCAATAGGGGTCACTATTGTTCCAGTTAAGATGCTCAGTAATATTTGGATGATCTCATTTTTAGTCCCGGAGGATTTCACTTCATCACATCACAGCCTGGCAGGTCCCCTCTTTAGTACCTTTCATCCACATTTCTCCCGTCCCTCTGCATAAACATCACTGCTTTTAAGACCTCCGCCTACAATGATGTCATTGTCCAAAGTCACGTGATTTTTATGGGGAATTTTTCTGGAGTATCTTGGAGCACAGGTGAAACATCCATAAGATGCCAGGAACATGGTTACCATTTATTTGTCAAAAACAAAGTGGCCACTGCTCTGTAACACATTTCCTTCCATTTAAATGCTGCTTGTGCGTTGACCTGAATGTTACACTTCTAATAGCACTGTGCAGACATGACCACATAATTATTTTACAGAGGTTTCATTGGATAATTGTTTAATTGGGATGTAGTCACCTAATTATTTTGCTCTGAACTAGGGACCATATGGCGCTTGGCAGGTGAAACGCAATTAGGCCATGCTAATTTATGATGATTATACCTGAGCATGACTGAACAGCCTATACTGTACAAAAATGTGTCTATCAGGGCCAATCTATTTTAGTTGTAGAGTGCATGTTTGGAGTGATGGCATTGCATTCATTACCCTGCAGTTTCTGTGTAAGCGTGGGTTTCCAGGGGGTTGTTTAGTAGGAAGGGCTGTTAGTGTTACCTAATTGTTCACCGAGGCCAGAAACAATACTTGTAGGATTTGCTTAATTGGCAGATAGAGAGATTAATCACTAATGAGTGAAATTAGTTGAAGGCAAACACTTAACGACTGATCAAACTATCATGTTCTTTGTGCCAGTGCGACTAAAGATAATAATAAAATCGAGATATTAAGCAGTTATTAGTTCAAACTATAAATTTGGATTTGGCCCCACATGACCGTGATGATTACTGGCACAGTTATAGATGAGATTTTCACCATGTGGAGCAAACAAAGTCATCCATCAAATCTTAGGAGCCCACTAAGAAATCACGGCCGCTTAAAAAGATATCACAAAATTAAATACTATCGACTTTGCTGTCTTTATGAAAACACCAATATTTGCACAGAGAGAGGCGGGGAACGTTTGTGTGGGGTGATGTTGCATGTTGAAACGTTCATGATTCAAGGGGAGATGAATGGCCTCTATTAGGAGCATTTAATCAGTAGCTGGCCCAGTGCTCCCAGTCTCCTGCACCCCCTGGGGAAAGATTAATGGGTACAGGATATTTCATCAGGTCCTCCACATCACTGCTCAGGATATGAGGCTGTAATTGTGTCTGTTTTTGCTGTTGTTTCGTGTTGCAGGCGGAGAAAGATGAGCCCGCAGGTTGGAGCAGTTCGGGGAAGGTTTCCCAAGGAGCCATAAGGAGTGGCAGAGCAGGATCGAGAAAAGGCAAACGAGTGAAGAGGGCATGATCATCTGCAAGACAAAGAACAGCCTCTTATGTGATGCATTTTAAATATATTTAAATTAAAATCTAAAGGGAAAAAAAATCACTCCAATGTTAAAGTTTACCACAAAGAGTGTTAACCTCCACCAGATTCATCCTCCAATCACCTGGTCAGATACTTTTGACAGCCTTTGTTCCCGCCCAGTGGTACTGTCCCACCTCACCCTTAATCTTCTGCTGTAATGTCTCGTGTCAGCAATACTCAGTAAATGATGAGACATGAATTCTTAAATATTGCTATGAACTAAGACTCGAGTAAAGAGTAGTAAGTCTGAGTTACATTATGTCTTTTTTGACTTTCCTCTGATGAACATAACAACGTTGCGTGTTTCGATTCAAGTATAGATGCACTACATTTAAAATGCACTTGTGATGTCCTTGAAAATGATTGTGCACTTTAGATTCTTCACTGGTTTCCTCCTCTTGGAAAAAAAGGGATGTTTGCTTTGCTGCCATTGCATCTCATGAAAAATGGATGACCTCCCAAGGCTTTCTTCTGCCCATTGCTCTTCATATTTGCACAAAGCCCAGGGACTGCATTTGGGTTAGCATCCTCCCTCCCTCCATCCTCCCTCCTTCTTTCTCTCCCTCTGTGGTTTGTTCGCGGGGTGAATAACTTAACACATATTTCAGCTTGACACACTTCTGCTCTGGGTTTCCCCTGGGTGCCCAGTTCACGAGCCCACACATGCTGTATTATTTAAAAGTGGGGTTTGGAGTTCTGTGCGTGTAATCTCCTCTTTGTGTAAGGGCCGGGGGACTGCCTTATGAAGTTGTTCGGCTTTTCCTTATGACCTTGTATTTGTGACTAGATGATATTTCAAGTGTAGCCAAAAGACACGAGAAGCATACCAGCACAGTTATGTTTTTTGGCAATATAAGCTTTATTTTTTTTTGTAAAAGAAGAAAAACACATCTCACAAACAGCACAGTCTGTATCATAGCAAAAATGGTGTACAGTACAAAATGATGGATTACAGGAAATAGAAATCCGGACAATATATCATGAGCACAAGAATAAAAATCGAACGCAGCAAAAATGCACGAGGAGGATAATAAATAATGCCTAATGACGCTAAAAAGCAAACTGTCTCAAAGTCTTGGAGTGAAATCAGCTTTCAGCTCAACACACACACACACACACACACACACACACACACACACACTAACTCAAGCTAATCTAAAAGCTGATACCATCGTGGAAATCAGAGTGCGGTGGCGAAAATGACACATAAATCATGTGCCGGCAGATGATGCAAAAAAAACCCTGCGGTTTGCAAGATGGATACAAATAGCCACATGATGTGTGGAAAACTCTCATATAAATACTTGTCATTGTGTTGCGAGGACTGTTGTGGTGAAAAATGCATGATTATTAATCTCCTAAACGAAAACATCTTAATAGGAACCTCTGATGGTGATGCTGTGCACCCAGAATACACAACCCACAGTGGATTTTCCAAACACACTTCGATGTTTGGAATTTTTAATGTTCTTGAGTGTAAAAGCTATTCCACATTTTTCATCTCTGTATTCTACAACATCACATTCACATTCACCAGGTTTGGCCTTGCGTGAAGGCCAGTGATCATACTGTCAACATGAAACATTCAGACCTTGGTGCAACATGGCAGCAGGTGTCTTGCCCACTGGAGGGCACTGTGAGCAGTGCAAAAGCTAGGTGGCCAAGAAAAGGGTGAGACACCTTGGCCAGCTCACCAGATGGGCTCACTGAAGCGTGTCAGGTGGCTGTGACAGCTACCTGCCCTTCCTTAAGGACTGTCACCATGTATAAACAAACCATTACTCTAATTTGTGAGTATACACTTATGTGTGTGCAAAATGTGTGCTTGTGCCCAAGGAGATGATTATGCTGAACCTTTTTAGAGTTGCACCTTTAATATCTTTCCTATACAGGAAAATGTTCATAGTAGTATTATTATCAGTAAGTTTTTGGTATATATTTTAGTATATATAGTTATATATTTTACAGTTTTAGCAGTTCAATGTAAGTCTCTGGAAATCGTGCTGTGCAGCAAATGATGTAGAACTTTAGTTTATGTTGTGGAGGTCACAGAGTTTATAATATTGGGGAAATGTGTAGAAAAAACTAAAATAGTGCCATCAAGGGGCATTTTTAACTGTATCTAGCTTCAGTAAAAATACTGGAGATTGTAAAAAAGGAAAGGGGTGTCAATACAAGAACTTTTATATTATTATTTCTACCTACGGCGGAGAGAAAATTATTATCTTGGTCACTAAAAATATCATAACTAACTGTAATATACGTAAGCCACTGCGAACGGGTATATTAGTGAAGAGGAATGTCTCCACAGCTTGTACGTAGATAAGATGGAGAGCCCTGAAGGCCTCTGCCTGCTCATTAATTTGCAGCAAAGCAACGTCGGATGCTGCGCCTCCGCTCGTCAGTCTCCACTGCGCAGCCGCAGTTGCTCCAGGACGCTGAGTGCAGAGCAGGGAAGACAGAAAAATGGCCCTCGACAATTTGATTTTCGCCCAGTGCATCCTTTATTTTTTAGCTTTCGTTTTCGGTTTTATCGCCGTGGTGCCTCTGTCTGAAAACACGGAGGATTTCGGGGGGAAATGCCTGCTGTTCACGCGGGGTATGTGGCAAAATGAAAACATCACTGTGATGAAGCAGCGCTTCATCGTGGAGGAGTGGGGACCCGAGTCCTCCTGCAGCTTCATCACTTTTGTCGGGATAGCGTCCCTCATCCTGTCCGCAGTGCAGGCTTGGAGGCTGCTGTTCTTTCTGTGCAAAGGACACGACGAGTGAGTGACCGTTCACTTGTGCCTCTTCCTTAAATAGAAGCTTATGAAGCAATACCACTCTAGCGGTCTGAGTGTAAATGTGCCATTCCTGTCCATCTCCCACGCCCTTGTTCGTGCACTGTCTTGTATATTTCATAGCCTGCATGTATTATACTCTATTTTATAGCGGATGGAAATGGGCACGGAAGCATCCTGTAAAATGTCAAGTCACTGCCATCTCCCAAAGATGGGGGAATACTCATTTTAAACTAGAAATCAAAGCCTATGCTTCACCTACTATTTTTGTGACATCAAAGCAACTTATGTGTCATTATGTTGATGTGTGATTGAAAGACTTAATCATCAGAGTTGCATACGTCATGCAGAGTAATAGGCCTCTGTGTCAGTTTTGTAACATACTCCAGAGATGTTGAGGGTTTTTGCCTGCCCTAACCCAGTTTGTTTTGTATTTCTGTTCTGTCTGCCTGCAGCTCCATCTTCAATGCCTTCCTCAACCTGCTCATTAGCTCCCTGGTGGTGTTCACAGTCTTTCTGTCCAGCACCATCGTTAGTGTGGGTTTTAACCTGTGGTGTGACGCCATCACCGAAGGTGGGACTATGCCCAACAGGTGAGAGAGAAGCGCAGGTGTTCTACTTTTTCCGGATGATGCTGTGGTATAGTCCCTCTAAATGCCACTTTCTGTTTAGCTGTGAAGACATGCAGGATACTGATCTAGAACTGGGTCTGGACAACTCTGCTTTCTATGACCAGTTTGCTATAGCTCAGGTAAAAATCTTTTAAAATTAACGTACAGACAGTGTAACGAATTTAACAGTCGTAGTAAATGCAATGACTGCTTTTACTCTTTCAGTTTGGGCTGTGGGCCGCCTGGCTCACCTGGCTCGGGATCACTGTGATGGCTTTTCTGAAGGTCTACCACAACTACAGACAAGAGGACCTGCTCGACACCTTGATCCACGAGAAGGAATTGCTGCTCGGCCGCTCTTCACGCCGCGGCTCTGACCTCAAGACCGGCCTGATTTAGAAATCAGCAAGACGCACAAACATACACGTTCATTCACAGTTAACCATATAGAACCATGTAGTCCTCTTGCCTGCCGTGACCAACACCAGTATTCGCCTGTGTAGACAATCAGAATTGGTTGGCTTTTGCTCCCACGAAGATGAATTGAATCAAATCGACAGTTTTAGCTGTTTTCCAGAAGTAACTGAGAATAAAAGCTACAGATGGTTGTTAACCTTTCCTGTGCTAGATTGAGATAATCCATCCCTTATTCAACCCCAACCCAGATTTGATAGTATTAAAACTTTTTTCTTTTAAACAAAAAAATACATCTTTTATCAAATATACGTTGTTGATTAGTAAAAAACGGTATTAATGGTTTGGCCAGTTTGGCCGGTGGATCTTGTCCTTGTGAAATTTCTGCATGGATCTAAAGCATGTAAAATTTCTCAGGTGCTTTTTAGACATAAAGGAGTTTTTTTTCTTCACCAATAAATGTGTTCCTAACTTAGGCTTCTTTTTTTCCTGCCAGTATCCACAGTGCGTCTCTGCAAAGTGAGAACTGCATGCTCCAGCATAAACAGTGTGTGCGTTTGCAGCATCTTTACACATTTATCAGCAGCTACAAAAGGTGTTTTATAACAAAAAAAAGTAGAAAAAAAAAGACAAATTGCAGCTCTACACATTCGTGCATTTGGCAGGCAGTCTAAAAGGCTTTTAGCAATCTGTGTGAGATAAGAAAACAGATCCTATCTTGTGCCATTTAGCAACTCAGGCTTCTTCTGCACACTTTATAGGCTACAAACCAATATACTCTATATTACTGTGACTAGACACACAAGTATACCTGCATGCACTTCTCCCTCTCCCTGTTAAATCCCACGCTCACTTATTGACAGAGATTACGGGAAGAAAGGAAAGTCGGCCGCTTCACTTTGATAGGCAATGACAGTTTTTATTTCAAAAACAACTGAAATTAAAAAAGCAAAAAACGGTAGGAACTAAGAAAACCCTCCATAAAGGCACTTCTTTCAAAGTGACCGTAGATGTTTGAACAGCAGTGAAATGCAGCTTTAAGCTAAATGTGCATCTACAGGACATAAGCTCACTGGGTATTGTTTTATTGCTAATGACGATTTCGTTTGACAGTACAGAGTCGAGAGTATTCCTTTTCTCCGGTACATCTGCAGTCTACAGTCAAACGTGAGATCTCCAAAATAAAAGACAAACAAACTCGTTTTATTTTGAGTTCCCTGAAACCTGTTGTATAAAGTGTTTTAATGGAATATATGTGATGTGTGTTATTGCTCATAATGAGAGATATGTGGGATGTGCATCACTGTGCCCTTTGATTCCTATAATCCATTTATGTGGTGATTTGGCTGTTTGAATTTGACTTGCCTTGTTTGATAAAGGGACTCATACAATAACGTCTGGCTCTGTTAAATTTCTGTTTTTGGCCTCTAAAATAGCAATTACCTTTTTTTTTTTTTTTCTGTTATGTATTGCAAATATCCGTTCAACCCACGCACTTCCATACACTTGACATCAGAATTAAAACCTGAATGTTTCATTTGAATATAAATGCTACAGATAACAAAAAGTAAAAAAAAATCCATATAACCAGAAGTCCGATAGTTGCGTAGAAGCAGATATACAATATAGAAGAATAAATAACATTTAGCATAAAGTATTTTTGTGGGATTCAGGCGGTTATAAAGAGGAACACTGTCAGAAGCACAAGCATTCGTTTGGATTGAGTATATTCTCTTTCATGATAGGTAATATTGTGCTGCAGATTATTATCCTCCGTGAAACTAGCATTCAGCTGACAGGCGACCAGACAGTTGGAAAAGAACAAGGTGTTTTTCATGTCCAAGTCATTCCGTGAAGTGATGCGGCCCTGTGTTTTCTTTTTTCAGACCATCATTAAACAGTTTACACATTCATGCTTCTGTCTGCCTCGTCTCAGTGTGCCAATCAGAAGTGCCAATCAAAGTCGTTTCCCAGACCTCTCTACATTCATTTATGTGCAATTACAAGGCTAAATACTGTGATAGTCCTTAGTATATTGAGCCATATATACACATTCATTTCTGTGTAATATCTGGTATACACAAATCATGTACCGTAACAAAATAAATTTGCATTCCACGGAAACATTCACTCACAGACAGCAGACTGTGACATGAATAGAAGAAAAAAATGAACTGTTGTGGAGATTATGCGAGTGTTACATGTCAGCGTCAACGGTGCAGATGTGCAGAATGCCGTTACAACTTAAATATGGAGTGGCATGCCCACCACCTTAGTACATATATACATACAGACATGGAAGCTACATATTTCTGGGATGACACATTTTCCCTTTTTCATGGTGAGAGTGGAATAAAACCACAGACAGTGTGTAGAGCCTCGCCAAATGGCTGAGGTGTTTGTAGGCCCGGGCACCTTCAAAGATAGGAAAAAGAGGGATCTAAAAAAACAAAAAATTAATAATAAATTAAAAGAGGCTCCATGTCTCCACCTGTGGTTGATAACAGTCACTGCATTGTCAACCATATCCAGCAGCCCCACAGAAGCTGTTTCATGTGCAGCAGGTAGACTGCCAAAGCTGCCTCCAGCTCCTCGCACACTCTCTGTGGACGCCGACGGTCTGTGCAGTACATGGCAACGCCCAGGAATGACATCAGCAGGAAGAGGCAGGTGAACAGGGCAAGGTGGGGGCGGGATGGTGTAGTCTCATAGGCTGCACAGGGGGAAAAAAACCAGACCGGTTTTTCAGAGTTTTGATTTGTAAATGACGAGCATTTGAATTGCACATTTCTTTTGTCGTTTGAGGCGAGGCCTCAAGTGTCAGGTTTCAGAGGATGTTTTTGTAGATTAGTTAAGCTTACATTAATATTTGCTGTTCCAGGCATTGTCAAACAAGACGTGACAGTGGCGTGCTAAACTCCCCATAGCATGTGTGCCACGTGGAGTCCTAACAATTCTAATGCTAATGCTGCTACAAGCCTGACAGCCTCTTTCCTCTTTATGAGTGCACTTTTGAAACTCTCGTGTGCTCATTAGTAACGTTATTTTTCAGACAGACTTACCACCTAAACAGTCACAATAAGGAATGTCTGCAAAGCCAAAAGAAAAGAGGTCAGTCAGTCACTGAAAGCTGACCTCATGATGTGCAGCAGCTACAAACCAGCTGCTGTACCCTTTCAGTCGCCACTGTCTCTCTTGAACAGACTCCACAGTGCCTCATTTGCATGCATAATTAATTAAAAAGAATAAATCTCTTGCTCATGTGTGGACACCTCTTGGCATTACGTTATTTTTAAGTAGCACAGAACCCCCAAATGACAGTAGTTTATGATGCAATTTCTGGGTGTTTTAATACTAGCTGGGTTTCCTCTTTAATGTAAATTCGAAGGCATGTGCAGCTTTGGGCTGAGGGTTCCTATCTAAGCTGGGATAGCAACACATTTTTAAGAATAAAAATACCAATGAAAAGCACCAGAGGGCAACATGTTCTCTGTGCAAACACATCTTGCAGCCTAAAACCGAGCAGGATGGACTCATTACAAATTGTTTGTGTGCATGCTTTCTCACCGTGCACTGTGGTCTCAGGCTCCCTGAATCGAACTCTGCGCTCGCCTTTACGTTTGTGGTTGAGTTCTGTGTCTAGTCTGTAGTTGGAACTTGGCTTCTTTAGGATGGAGGTGGGGACTTTGCTGTTGGTTAACTACATTAGATAAAATTCACATTGAGCACATTTATTGCATTAAAGGCCAGCAGCAAACAGCTGGAACAGATCTATTCCAAAGAAGCTGCCTCATATAACACAGAAATAAATCAGAATAACACCAACCAGATACCCTCAGGTGTTTTACCTACCTTAGGTTTAAGTGTGTCTTCCTGATGGTGGTGGGTATCCTTTCTGTGGCGTACCTCTGAGTGTTTCTCCCGGTGGGAATGAGGAAGACAGCTGACCGAGTCTCTGAGAGACTCTGCAGCAGCGAAACGTTTGGACAGTGCAGACACACATTGACCCAGAGAGTCTAGGAAGAGAACCATGACCATACAGAACATGAGACGAGCAGCTTAACATCGGAGTTTCCAGTCAAGACAGAGCAGAACTCAAGCTCAACATGCAAATGTACAGGAGGCAAGACGGAAGTGTGTTAACTCCGTCTGCACCGGGTACAGTGCAGCCGTGGGAGTTCAGCACAACTGCACAGTGCTCACTGTGTGAAAAAGCTATCAATTATATCAGGCCCTCTAAAAAAATCTGGATCTCATCACAGTTTATAAAAAAGAAATAAATAGAAATAAAAATTAGCCACTACAGACTACACACACATTGCCTAAAGTTGCCTACTATTGTGTATGTGTCAGCATTGCTGGATAAATTCTCTCTCAGATGACTTCAGTTATTAATAAAAACATGCTAGTTACAATAATATCTTAGGTCAGTTATTTAGTCCATGTTTTTACTTCTGGGGAGAACTTTGGCTTTTTAATAGGTGCAGACTTGAATCAAAGATGACTTGAAATGAAGTGAAGGCTCAGATATTTTGGGACACATGCAATTATAATTTCAACATATCACATACAGTTACAGTTAAGTCTACATCAGCTTGAAAATACATGCAGGCAATGTTCTAGCAGAGGGAGGGGCTGACTGACCTACTTAATGGTCAAGGGTATGTGAGGGACATGGGGTGTAAACACTTAAACCTGCCATCATGGTGCAGGCCAAAAAGGAGCCCTTTCTGCTCAGTGCAAAATGAAACAAAACAATGCACAGAGCCTTAATTTTTCCAGCGTTTCACCAAACATTTTAAGACAAACTATTAAACTAAAGTATTTTTCCCCTTTTTAATGGTCTATATTCATGTCTTGGTGCAGCTGCTCTTGTTCTGCACGGGTGTCTCTGTAAGCTGACTCAACACTAAACTGTTTCTACGTCTTAACAAAATGCACAGTTCAGAGTCAGGTAAGCCAAGCATGCACACTGTGCAACAAATCCACAACCTTAAACTGTCACTCTGCACGTTCCTGTGTCCAACATCACCACAAATGTGAATTAATTTAACATTTTCATGGCATGAGACTGTGTTGTGTGCGCTCTACAACAGGGATTAACATCATAAGACACGGAGGTCTCCACCCTTATTCTATATACTACTCTCTGAATCATACACCCATGTTTGTTTTCACTGTATATTTATGTGCGTACAGTAAATCCCTGTGTCATAAGTGTTTAGTCTGTATTATTCAACTATCCTTTACCTGAATATTCAGTCTTGCCAATTTCAGCATATACGGTTGCCATGAGCTCAAGGCTTCTAGCTGTAATTGGATGGTCATTTCCAAAGGCCCTCTGGTGAATCTTTGTAGCCTGAAAGAAGCAGAGATGTATTATTTTAAAGCTTACAGAAGAGTTATAATATTCTATTGGTTCAAATATCCGATTTTTACATACCTTACCGCTGTATTCTAGGGCAAGATGAGGTCTAAAAGGAAAAGAAAAGACAAATGAAACGAATAAACTAAAGGCAACGCCACTTTGTTTTTCTGGAACAAATATTTGCTGACAATAAATGTGTTACAGTATGTTAATAATGGATGACTTTGAATTATCAAACATCATCTAGCCGACATTTTTCTTCCGTTTGAAAACATAAACATGTTACGGGCAAATATTTCCAGTGACGATAATAATTCCAGACCACAATGAAGCAGAAAAGGCACGCGCTTCATTGTCAGGGGAGCATATCAGTTTCTGTGTTCGGGGCACATCAGCATGACAAATCTAAACACACGTGTGCTGTGATTGGACACGGACAGCAGGGCTGCGGATGCTCAGGTACTTTATGGAGGAAGTGGAAACCTTCTTTTTCTGCCAGCGCTGCCATCCACTGTCTATTCTCAGGGTGAATTACAAAGGGCATGGCGCTCACAGGTTGGTTTACTATCTCCGGCCCCTCTGCCTCACTCCTGCTTAGTGTTAAGCTAGGTGAACACGATGGGTTTCATTGAAGATCTGCCAGCTGTTCCAGTCATATTGGCACTGAAAAGTCTGCCAAGGACATTCATCACCCTAACACCCTCACGTGTGCCTATAGATGTAGAGCAAGCTCTGTTTAGTGTGACAGATGTCAGCTTCGCTGTTCCAAACCCATACTTTCCTTCAATTAGTAATGGTCAGGTGTCAGTTTGCAATGCTTTAGAAGGTCTTTCTCAGAGGATACGTGATCAGCAAAGGCAGAAAAGCCCTTCACTAGCTCAAAGGACTTCCTATGACATTGTTAAAAGATTTAGTAACAATTACAACTTCCTGTCTGTAAGGAGGAAGCTCTAAAACCACCGCTTATAGCGGGCGCAGTAAGAGATTGGTCATTATTTAAAGAAACCAGAGTCAGTTTGTGTGCAG